GCCGCCGCCGCCGCCGCCCGCTCCGCGCCTCCTCTGCCTCCCGGCTCGCTCTCTCGCTCGCGCTGTCTCTCCCTCACCCCGTCTCTCTCTCTCTCTCTCTCTCTCCTTCCCTCCCCTCCCTCCGCCCTCTCCCCTCCCTCCGGGAGCCAACGGAGGAAAGACATCGCCCCTCCCCGCGCCCCCAAACCTCGCCCATCCCCCCCGCTGACTCCGCCCCTCTTCTTGCCCTCCCCCTCCACTCTCCCTGCTGCCGGGTCCCCAAACCCTGACTCCACCCCCGCTGGTACCCCAACGGCGAGGAGGCCCCCCCCGCCGCCTTCCTAGGGTACCCCACAGGCACCCCCTTTCGGGGCCCTCTCCACACACAGTAGGGCGCAATAAATACGTTATCTGGTGTTGGACCCTCAAACTGGGAGGGCTATAGTCCTTTGTGCCCTTCTATCCAAAGCACACACACACACACACACACACACACACACACACACACACACACCCTCCCAGTCCTTCCATCCATGCACAGGGCACACGTGGTGGACACACCTGGCCCAGGCACGGGTGCACACTCACAGTGGGGGGCTGGGGGGGTCCCTAGCTCGGATCCAGGACAAATACACCCAGACACAAGGCCCCTGGGTACACCTTCCCCAAATCCAGCCAGCTCCACCGTGGGCATATCAGCCACTAACACTATGCACGTGTGACAGCACCCCCCCCTCCTTGCGGGTGCAGCCTCCAAAGTGCCTGTATGGTCAGATCTCTAGCTCCAAACAGCCAGCACCCAGCTGTAGGGAGTGGGTGCCTGCACCCCAGACAGACTCACTCCCCAAGCATCACCCAGGTACGCCCTCACCCATTCAGGTACCCACCACCATGGGCCACCAGGGCAATTACACGTTTCAAACTCACTGCCATGGACTCAGAGCTGATCCTCCAGGTTTTCAGAGGCTGTAAATCCCCCTGGGAGGAGGTTGCCCATCTTTTTCCTGAAAGGCAGCTCAGAAGCACCTGTCTTTGGGATGGCAGAATGACATTTTCCAAGGACTTCTTAAGTGCCTGCGACCTGGGTTAGGTTAACTCATTCCCTTCTCACATCCACCCCATGAACCAGGGATTTTGCTCAGCCCCATTTTACAGATGGGAAAATTGAGGTCCAGAGAGGCCAAGCAACTTGCCCAAGGTCACGGAGCTTTGGAGAGGGCATGCCAAGTGGGCAAACTCCCAGGTCTTCACGTGACCACTACTGTGTACCATCTGGCTCACGTGAAATTGTGTGTCTTCGTTCATCTCACATGCATGCAGACACTTCCAGCTCACACGTGCACAGACACACCTGCAGACAGGTGTGTGTGCACGTGGCTCCTGCATGCTCAGAACACACTCCCAGACACACAGGGGGGACCTGGAAGGCAGTCATTGTGTGTCCTAGAGGTTCAGGCTGTGGCCCCCTTCAGGCTGGCCTCTATAGGACCTCCAAGGCCTGGTGCATCTGAGGTTCCAGGTAGCCTCTGGGTGCGCTTCCAACTTCGAGCTCTCCAGGGTCCCCCTTGGATTGAGTAGAGCAGCTGCCACACCGCTCTGTGGAGCCCAGCTCTGGGAAGACCCACCCTAGATGTGCATCCAGCCCAGGTGGCAAGCAGCTGGGCCCTGGGGAGTCACAGCTGCCTGAGTTGGTGCCAGCAATGAGTGAGGCTGCACAGCCCTCTACAGTTTGCATTGCCTGTGCACGGTCTCTCTAGATATAGGTCCCCGGGGGGTACCTGAATGACCTGGGCTCCGAGACAGTGAGCAGCTTGCCAAGGTCACAGTGCCCTTTGCTGAGCACCAGGCTTTCTTGGAAAACTCAATGCTGGACGCCTTCATTTCCAAGGCCCCTCCTGGGGTTCTCTGTCTCCGAGGGCAGCTGCCCTGCGCTTGCTCAGAGCCAGAAGCTTTGGCAAGCTGCTGCCTCATGGTGACCTCCAGCAGGCCTTGCTGTCCCCTTTTCAGCCTCGGTTTCCTCCTTTGACGAGCGGGCCCCATGATCCCTGGCTAGGGTGCTCCATGGTTGTTGGCAGAACCAGCTCAGCCGTGTCTGGGGAAGCCCTGGGTGACTCATCAGGGCCTGGCTGCGGTCGCCTGGCCTCTCCACTTCCTCCTTGATGCCACTGCCACCTAGGATGGGAGACTGGGTGCCACTGACACACAGTAGCCCATCCGCAGCCTCAAGGGCTACAAGTCTAATGGAACGCTGGCTCCTCGAGCCTCTCATGCTCCCCCAGCTTCTTGGTTTGGGCCTTTCGGCTTGGGGAGCAGAGGCAATGCAAGAGATGATGGGGAGGATCTTTGTCCAAACTGTTATCCTGCTAAAAAAATGCATGCTGCTAAGATGGCATCTTCAGGCCCCCTAGTTCTAACCAGCTCACAGCCCCAGAGCCATTCAGAAGCAGCTTGATCGAGTTGACTCAGACTCGAAAGCTCGATCATTGCTGTGGAGTCTGAAGGCACGCTTAGCTGACCTTCCAGCGTGTTTTCCTGAGGCTGTAAATAATAAAGGAGGAGATTGCCCATCTTCCTCCTCCCTCAGAGAAGCTGATGGATTTGAACCACTTACCTCTGGGTTAGCAGCACAACTGACTTAGAGAAACATATCAGAGTAGAACTCGCCACAAGCTGTGATGGTTTGGACCTGGATTGCCAGGCTTTTCTTTTGAGGTACCTTTAGATGGACTCAAACCTACAACTCTATGGTTTGCAGATAAGGCTAACAAGACTGCTCACACTGCCTAGGGACAACCTCCCACAAATAACTAGACCTCAGTGCCCTGAATCCGACTGATTCTGACTCACGGCGGCCTCATGATCCCCCCAGACGCATAAATAAATGAACTGGAGAATGCCAGGCTTACTCATATCAAAGAGACACTGTGGGGGCTTTTAATAAGGAAACCCGTGGAGAGGAAATTTCTGTAGATAAGGGGGGGTGTGTGTATGTGGGGAGATCAAACCAAACCCATCACTGCTGAGTCAGTTCCTATTCACAGTGACCCCCACTCCCCGTGTTACAGAGTAAATTGAACTCCATGCTTTCACCCTCCACCCACATCGCTCTAAGTATTCCAGAAGTAGGTTTCCAGGTCTTTCTTCAGCATCACTTCTGGGCAGGTTCAAACTGAGTGCTTTTCATGAATAGCCTTTTTCATGGTGGAGGGAGGAGATTGAAGCGGTCAGCCACTTCACCTTAGCTGGATCCACGGTTAACACCCTTGGTACCGGCAGTCAGGAAGTAAGGAGACACATTGTACTAGGAAAATCTGCAGTTAGGGACCTCTCCAAATAATTGAAGAGTAATGGTGTCACATTGAAGACTAAGGTGCGACTGATTCCGGCCATGGTTTTTTCGATTATTTATTATGTATCTGACAGTGAATAATAAGGATGAAAAAAGAAGAATTGATGCCTTTGAGCTGTGGTGTTTGAGACGAGCGTTGAACATCCATGGATGGCCAAAAGAATAACTAGATAAGGGCAGATATGAGAGGGTGCAGCCAGAGTCCTCTTTAGAGGCAAGAATGATGAGGCTTCGCCTCACATACTTTAGGCACATTGCCACGAGGGGCTGTTCCTTGGAGAAGGACATGATGCTGGGAAGGGTGGAGGGTCAGCGAAGGAGAGGAAGACCCTCGACGAGGTGGATTGACACGGTGACTGCCTCAATGGGCTCTGATGTGTCAGGAAGTGTGAGGATGGCACAGGCTAGAACACGGTTCAGATCTTTTGTTCATAGGGTCACTATGAGTCATACTAGACTTGACGACACCCAACAACAACATGAATAGACTAGTAGGTGAAGTGTTGTCCTGCCTGGGCTATGGGAGGTGTTTTGTATCAGCTGCTTGACAGGAGAGTGATGGGCAATCTCCTCCCATGTGGTTTACAGCCTCTGAAAACCCACGGGAGGGTTGAATCAGTTCTGACTTGAGCTTTTGTTTTTGTTGGTGCCACACAGCAGATTCTGACTCACAGCGCCCCCAAGTGACAGAGCTGAACCGCCCCACAGAACATCCTGTTGTACGGGCCATTGCGTGGAAACCCACTCGTAGCTGACTGTCCACAGAGTCTCCAGAGGCTGTGAATCGCATGGGAAGAGACTGTCAATTTTTACTGTCTTTCCCAGGAGGAGCTAGTGAATTCGAACCGCCTGCCTTTGGTCTGGCAGCGCAACTCCTTACCCAAGGGGCCACGAGCACTCCCTGCAGGATTTCCTAAGCTGCTGGGTTTTTTGTATGGGAGCAGGTTGTCAAGCCCTTCTCTCTCTCTCTCTCTCTCTCACTCCCTCTGCAAGCAAGTGGCAAGGTAAGTTTGAACTGCCAACCCTTTGGTTAACAGATGAGACCTTAACGGCTGTTTCACCAGGTCAGCAGCAGTCAAATGCCAACCGTTTGCGTCTCCTGAGCACCTAAGGTGGGTGATGAGGTGCAGCTGGCAAGAGGGGCCTTTAGGAGGAAGAGAGGGCTGGTGCAAAGAAATGGGGGGTGAACTTGGCATTCTGGGATCAACCAAGAGACCCGTGTGGCTGAAGCTTAGGGGATGAAGGGGTTTGGAGAGCGAGTGACAGTCCCAGTGCAAAGGGTTCATCTCCACCAGCCCAACGAGGAGGGCCAGGCTGGGTCTGGCTCCAGTCCTGCATCTGATGGGAAGCTGGGGGGTGGGGGGCAGGGGAGCAGGGAGACGTGATCTGACTTACAGCTTGTAAAGATTGCTCTGGTTGCGGCAGGCGGCAGGGATTGGAGGGGCTCCGGCGGAGGAAGGAGGGGGGAGAGAGGGGAGAAGGCGGGACTGCAGTGGTCCAGGCGGGAGGCAGGCACCTCGCCAAACGCTCAGAGCTCTCTGGCCGCCCAGCCGCCCTCTACCCCACCTTCTGGAGGAATCGGCCTGGTCCCTATCGCTGTGTGCTTGCTGCCTCCCCCACTCGGCCCCAGCCCCTCCTCACTCAGAGACATCTTCTGTCCAAGTCCTTTTGTCTGGGAGCAGCTGGCATCCCCAGGACTGCCTGGTCTGGGGGGTAGGATGGGATGGGATGGGGGTTCTGGCCTGCAGAGTACATCCACCAGTAAAGTGTGGTAAATGAATCTGAATCCTGGGGGCACACATGAACCTCAAAGGCATACAGGCAACACACACACACACACACACACACACACACACACACACACACACACGTGTTCTCATCCTGGCCCAAGGGCTTGGAGGGCAGGGAGGCAGAATTGGGGGCAGGAGCCCGAGAATCATTGAAGAGTCTTCTCTCTTTCTCTTGAATGTGTGGGTGATGGTGGTCACATAATAACACCCTTAGCTGAATTCTTTCTTTGGGAACAACCAGGAGGAGGAAGGGGACAGCCAGGGGGAAGATGGGGATACAGCCCAAACATTGCCTGGTCCAGAGTGGTCTCTGGGGTTCAGTTGAGTCTGCTGCACCCCTCACCCCATCCTGGGGAAAGCCAGCTTCAGCCTCTTCTTGGCCCTCTGAGAGACTGGCCAGGGCTTAAGGAGAGCAGAGAGGAAGTGAGCTCTGGAAAGTGGGAAGAGGGGGGTAAGTGGGGAGACCCAGGGCAGGCGGGATCCAGGCTGTGGAACGTTAGAAGCTTCCGGCCACAGAGGCAGGCCTGGGGAAGCCAAGAGGGGCGGGGAGATACACAAACCAACCGACAGAAGCAGGAGCCCAGAGAGGCGGGGATCAGGGATCAGGGGGCTAGTGACCAGCACGCTTTTGTCCCTCGCCCCAGGCTCCCCGAGAGACAGCCAGACACCCAGACACGTCTGCTGCCTTGGGTGATACAAGCCCAGCCTGATGCAGGCAGCCTGGCTCCTTGGGGCCCTGGTCTTCCCCCAGCTACTTGGCTATGGCCAGGGGGCTCAGGAAGCCGAGGGGGACTGGGAGGGAGGCTGGGGAGATGCCCAGGCGGAAGAACGAGAGAGGGAGGCCCTGATGCTGAAGGTGAGTTGAGGTGGGTTGGTTGTTTATGGGGTGGGGAGTGCTCAGAACGGAGAAATGCCAGGATTTGGGAAATGGGCTCAGGAGACGGGGTGAGGGGTTCAGGGGGCACGTTTGAGGCTGCAGCTGGATAGGTGGGACATGGCCTGTTGGCCCTGACGTCGCCTCCCCTGCTCCAGCACTTACAGGAGGCCCTGGGGTTGACCGTTGGGAGGGGGGACCAAAGCCCTGCTGAGACCCCGGAGGGCACAGAAGTCTGGGTAGCAGAGGATGGACAGGCTGAGGAAGAGGAGGAAGAAGCAACACCGACGCCTTCGCCCAGCCCCAGCCCCTCGCCCACCCCTGAAGACAACATCTCTTACATCTGTGAGTGTTCAGAAGTCTGCCCTGTCCCCAGGCCTCAAAAACTAATAGTCCACTATCTGGTGACCCTTCAGTTGTGCACCACTCAAGCCAAGCCATCCAGGAGTCCTAGGTTCTATCACGTACCCCGAGTCTCCACGCTCCCCCCTCCCTAACTGTTGAGTCTCCTCCCCCCACCCGTCCCTGGTCCCCTGTCCCCGCCCAGCTCCCCGCCTTGTCGCTCTGCAGTGGGCCGCCTGGCGGGCCTGGACGCTGGCCTGCACCAGCTGCACGTCCGTCTGCACACGCTGGACACCCGCGTGGCCGAGCTGACACGGGGGCTGCGTCAGCTGCGGGAGGCGGCGGGAGACACCCGCGACGCGGTGCAAGCTCTGCAGGAGGCGCAGAGCCGCTCGGAGCGCCAGCACGGCCGTTTAGAGGGTGAGGCCGCACAGCCCTGTTGGGGGGAAAAGGGGGTCCAGTGGGCGGGGAGGTCTGAGGCCTGCAGGGGTCCCGAGAGTTAGGGCTCATGAGCCCCGGGAGATGTGGGGTGTCCTGGCAGACAGGAAAGATGGAGCAGTTGAGAAGAGTGAATGCGGAAAGCGGGAGGGGCGCGGGAAGAGGTACTCCCCTCTTTCCAAGGCGCGGACCCTCCTCTCCCCGCGCCACACCTCCCAAAGGCCCGCCTTCTAGGCCGGCGCCGCCTATAGCGGAGCGCGGTTTGGGCCCCGCCCCCTTCTAGCCCCACCCCAGAACAGCTGACCACGCCTTCCCACCGCACCGCCCTAATACAGCTGGCCCCGCCTTCTCCCCGCCCCTGGCTTTTTGACCCCGCCCCTTCTCTGTTACAAAGACCCGGGCTCCTCATTTGCTCCGCCCCTGAGATGTCTGACCCCGCCCCTCCCTCCCCGCCCGGATTCTGGCTCCACCCTCTTCACGCCCCTTTCCGCTCCGCCCACAGGTTGCCTGAAGGGCCTGCGCCTGGGCCATAAGTGTTTCCTGCTCTCGCGCGACTTCGAGGCACAGGCGGCGGCGCAGGCGCGCTGCGTGGCGCGCGGCGGGAGCCTTGCTCAGCCGGCCGACCGGCAGCAGATGGAGGCTCTGAGTCGCTACCTGCGCGCGGCGCTCGCGCCCTACAACTGGCCGGTGTGGCTGGGCGTGCACGACCGGCGCGCCGAGGGCCTCTACCTCTTCGAGAACGGCCAGCGCGTGTCCTTCTTCGCCTGGCACCGCGCGGCCCGCCTGGAGCCCAGCGCCGCGCCGCACCCGCTCAGCCCGGACCAGCCCAATGGCGGGGCGCTCGAGAACTGCGTGGCGCAGGCCTCGGACGACGGCTCGTGGTGGGACCACGACTGCGAGCGGCGCCTCTACTACGTGTGCGAGTTCCCCTTCTAACCGGCCTCCGGGGAGGCCGCCCTGCGAGATCACAGCCCTCCAAGATCATCGCCCTCCAATACCCCTCCCGCCCCGCCGATGCCCCTCGGCCGGAGCTCCTGCAGGCCAGGACCCCGGTGCTTGCCCTTTCCGACCTGGCCTTGGAGCAGCGAGCACCAGGCTACGTCTGGCGCCAGTCAAGACTTCATGAAATCCGACTTGAGCAGCCTGGGGAGCCCCAGACGTAGCTTTCCTGCAGTGGCTCAGTTCTCCAGCCCTGGGAACCCCCTTAAGCGGGTCCAGCTGGTGATCTGCTCTTTTAAAGATTTGCAGCCTAGGTGACCCTATGTATGGGACAGGTTCTTTTCTGTCCCCAGCAATGACATTTCAAGCCCCAGAATGGGAGTGAGGTCAGAATAGATTTGCATTATGTACACATTGGCCCCTGTTCTCACTCACTGATGCTTGGATTACACTCGGGAACAATTGCTAGCAGACATCTCCATCCGTCCCCGCAAGTGTTCCCACTGCTGACCTTTGAGTCCCATGGCTTTGTCAGTCGTTGTCCTAGACCCTGGCCATAGTCCTGGTCCGAAAGAGGTCTGGTAAAACTCCGGACCTAAAGGCTCTGATAAGGTCTGCAGGAATGAATGAGTTTCTTTTTGTGTAACCATTGCATAAAGATAGTACGTCTGGCATTATTGTGACTCCAGGAGGGGGAAAGAGACGAGATGTACATTAGCCCCAGGCTGAGTCTTTTGAGCTGAAAGTCATACATCCCTCCCTTTAACCTTTGCACCCATTCTGAAATCAGCTGTCCCTTCCATGACACTCTAATTGGTTCAATAATATGTTTTATGGTGCCAAAGAATTGACAGCCAATACTGACACTTAACAAGTGAAGATGATGAAGGAAGTACCAGGTTATAATTCAGAATCATCAGATACGTAGGCAAAGCCTTCCTTCAGCAGAACAAGACAGCTTCTGGTCTCAGGATGGGTTCCTCTCAGCCCCCAAGAGAACAGGCCTCCTTTCTTGGCTCTCCTTGGGCAAAGTCCTTCCTAGTTCTGCCAGTGAGTGCCCAAAGGTACCCTACTTTACGAGCAAGTCACCTGCACAGAGGTGCTCACTCAGGTGTATTGCTCTGGAGATTGGTTTTCCCACTGTACTGCTTTGCCTGGTGGACCAAACAGCCCACCTCGCTGTCTTAACGCCAGTTTTCACATTCTGTTTCTCTCTTTTCTTTGCTACATTTGCTACTGCTGCTTGCTAGCTCTTGCATTCCCCACTGTTACAGCAACCTCTTTGTCACTTATCTCCTGGGTACAGGATGTTCTCAGTGCAAAGGCCACACGTCCAAAGGATGCACTCCACTCCTGGATCTTCTTTCTTGGTGGCAGTGAGATCCCCCTTTCTGGCTCTAGTATGGTGCACTTAATGGTTTAAGCTTTAATGGACAAGAAAACTAGTCAATCCTTTTATTAGATTCTAAACATGTTATTTGGGAGCTCTGGTGGCTTAGTGACAAGAAGCTGCACTGCAATCCCAAAGGCATGCGGTTCGAGATCTTCATCTGCTTCACGGGAGAAGGATGGGCAGTCTTCTCCCATGCAATTAACTGCTTCTGAAAACCCACTGGAGGGTCACCTATGAGTTGGTTCCCACTCCACAGCACACAACAACAACAACATGCACACTATTTGCCCTGATCCCACCCTCTTTCAATGACTCATGCATTTCACTTGCATTATTTACAAACTGTCCAATCCCATTTTTGGGCCCCAGGTTCCTTATTTGCATAGTCAAATCGAGAAGTGTATCTACACACAATAGTGCCTATGGTAAGCACTGAAATGACACTGCTGTCCAAAGATCTAATGCCCATCTTTTAGAAAGCTTTACCTTAAAGCAGTGAACAAGTCTAGCTCTAGTCCGTCTCTTAGCATGGAATGACGCTCCAGGAGAACGACACCAACCCCCTCCTGGCTTTCACTGTTGAAAACGGGTCTGTGATGTGCTCAAGGTCATTTCCACCTTACTTCTCTTCCTACACTTGGCAGAGCAAGGTAACAAAGTCGGCCTTGTCCCATGGAGCTCTCAAAGGCTAAGGTACGGGTTTGAATGTGGCTGCACTCTGGTAGCCTAGTACATCGAGATTTGCACTGTTACCTCAAAGGCTGCCCCTTACTAGTGGTTTGAATCCACCAGGAGCTCACAGAGAGACAAAGAAGTAACTCCTCTCCTTTTTTCTGTTGTTCTCTTCTGTCAAGTTAGAACTGATCCATAGCTGACCCTCAAGAGGGATTTCAGAAGCCGTTTCATTGCACAGGAGGAGATGGCCCATCTCTCTCCTCTGGAGCAGCTGGTGGATTTGAACTGCATGCCTTTGGGATTGCGGCAACAGCTCTTTACCACTAGGACACTAAAGCTCCCTAAAGCCTGCTAGAGGGTGAGCTGTGAGTCAGTTCCAGCTTGACAGCAGTGACCTTCAAGCTAAACGATGAGTAAGGAATACTGAAGAGTCGATGCCTTTACATTAAGAAGTTGGCGGTGAGCTCTGGTGGCCTAGTGGCAAGAAGGTTCAGAGGTGCACAGTTCAAATCCACCAGATGCTCTGCTTGAGAAGGAGGAACAATGTCCTCCTGTACCAGTCAGATATGATTTGACAGTACACACAAAAAATAATGACATTTTTAAAAAAATAAAGAAGTTGGCAAAGAGGGCAAGACCCTTCACAAGAGGGGTGGACCTAGCGGCCACAATAATGAACTCAGAAATAGTGCGCATGACGTCATTGTGAGTCTGGGCTGACCCGGTGGCCCTTAACAACAGTTTCCTGTCTCTTTCGTGACATTCTTTCTCTTGTGACCTGTCTACAACTGTGTAAGTCAATCCTCTTCTCCGAGCCTCAGTTTTCTCATCTGTACAGAGAGCAACGATGTCACGCTGGAGACTAAGGTGCACCTGATCTGGGCTATAGTCTTTGCAATTACGTGCTATACATGGGAGAGCTGGACAGTGAGTGACTAGGGATGATAGAGAACTGATGCCTTTGAGCTGTGGTGCTGGAAAAGAGTGTTGAATATACATACCATGGACTGGTAGGAGAACAATCAGATTTGTCCTGGAGAGGGTGAAGCCAGCCTGCTCCTTGGAAGCAAGGATTCTGAAGCTTTGTCTGACATACTTTGGGCATGTTGCAAGGAGGGATTGGTCCTTAGAGAGGGACGTCATGCTTGGGAGGGTGGAGAGACAGCACAGGAGAGGAAGACCCTTGATGAGATGGATCGATTCTGTGAGTAGAGTGGTGGGAGTGAGTGTGTCAGAGACAGTGAGGTTGGCCCAGGATAGAGCAGGGTTTAGGGCTCTTGTACATAGGGTCGCTATGAGTCACAGGCGACTTGATGGTGCATAACAACAAACAACAACAACAACATCGGCACAGTTACCCCTACCTGGTATGCCTGATGCTAAGGTAAAATCCAGGGCTGTGAGTGTCTTTGGGATGGTTGAGCACAAGGCCAGTACTACCTGTGTCTCTAAATATCTTTCCAATCTTTACTGCTCGAGGCTGGTGAGGACATCAGCACACTCTAGGGGGCTCTTCCTTTGGGAACATCCCCCCCACTGTCTCCCCTAATGCTCATATCTTCGATGGATTGAGTCTGTCAGCAGCTGTGAAGGAGAAAGACAGACCATCTCCTCCTGCTATAATGTGCAGCCTCAGAAACCCAACAGAGGGTCACTATGCATTGACACCAACCTGATGGCAGTGAATGTTTTCCTTTCGATGTCCAGAATGAACAGATCTGTCTTGGAAGCAGGGAAACCAGAAGCAAGCACGGCAAGACTTGGTCTCACATGTTTGGGCCATGGTATCAGGAGGGGCCAGTTACTGGAGAGGGATTTAATTGAAGATCAGAGAAGAGGAAGATCCTCAACAGAGAGCGTGGCTGGAACCATGGGCTTAGGCACCAAAGCGACCGTGAGGGTGGTGCAGGCCTGGGCAGAGATTCACTGTATCCTACATGGGTTCACTGGAAGCTGGAAGCGACTTGTTGCCACTAGTGATAACCTCTCAGAAGAGTTCTGTGCATAAAAGGCTGATTACAACACTTGCCCCTAGACAAATACACTCCTCTTCCACAGAACTTTCTCCTGACACACTACATCTTCACGTAGGTGAAGGTCCCCGTTCTCCCTTCAGTTCTTTGCTGGGCAAAGGTCACCAAGAATCAGCCTCACCTGTCATTCTGAACAATCCCTACCTCCAGTCCTATTCCAGGCAGGATTATGAGCCCTTTTTGGGATTCCAGAATTGGTGGTACCTGGCCTGCCCGGGCTGTATGGCATGAGCTGTACCTCTCCCACCAAATAAGGGGGAGTCTGGGAGCCTCCTTAGAATGAAGGATGATGTTATGCTGAGTCTCATCTTGGGGACTGAGTCCAGTGTGTGTCTAAGCTGTGTCTCTACTTCCTCTCCCCAGGAACCCCAGGTTAAGCCATGTACCCCAAGCTAGGCTTAGTGCCTCTTCTGGGTGCCCGGCATCCCCTATGATAAACTCCATCACTGTAAGTGCTACTGTATGGTTAATGTAAGCCTGGTCACCCCAGCACCAACGAGGTCCTGAGGGCGTTTGCAAGGACGGCTCAGGCCCGAGATCACCATGACAGCGCGCAGCATTTGAGGCTGCCTCATGACTAAGGCGTGCAATTAATTCGAGGCTGATTCGTGACTTAGCCAGCGGGTGCCCATTCCTCCAGGAAGCCCTCTGGGGCCTCTGCAGGACAGGAAATTGCCAACATCCTCGCTTTGCTTCTCTGCAGGACGCCTGAGGTTTGAAAGGCCAGAACGAGTCTCAAGGAAGGCCTCGGCACATGGGTGGGATCTGTGTACTTAGGGATCTCAGAAAAATGGTGGAAAAGGGGATCTTGACCCTGGAAGACAAGAGCAGGAACAAGGGAATCGCCTCCGGACTACAAATCCCATGAGGTCTAGCGAAAAAAAAAAAAAAAGGAA